GGCCGCCACCCCTTACTGGGCACGGCCGCCACCCCTTACTGGGTACGACTATTACCGCTTACTGGGCACGGCCGCCACCCCTTACTGGGCACGGCCGCCACCCCTTACTGGGCACGGCCGCCACCGCAGTTATTTAGAGAAAAGCCACAAGAGGCAATCCCAGCCTGTTTTGTCTCTCTCCTCCTTGCCCCCGATCTCTAAAACTTCCATTTCAGCGATGTCTCGGTGAGCCGGGGAGGCAGAACCGAAGGCAATGACACAAGCAGGGGCTGTATCGCTGCTGACATCACGGCATTCAGTCCTTCTAACTCGCAGTGTTACTTTTTGCTCCACATCTTCCACCTCTGTTTGCTTTTCCGAGCACTGCTGCACACAGAACACAAGGTTTTATGGAGCTGCCTATAGCAGAAGTCGAGTGTTTTCTCCTGGGACTGTGTGTGTTTAGAGTTCAATTAACCATCCAGACCATCAAGCCAGGCTTCAAACCACAACGATTCACAATTACCAACAGTCTCGAGTGTCCTGCAGGACATCCCCTCTCAGAAGGCGGGAGAGCTGCCACCAAAGGTCTCCAAAAAGCTGATTTTCATGGGTAGGATTGAGGTCCGATCACCAGACACACGTTTCCCATCACACCTGGACAACTCACAAGCCGGCAAGCCAAGCTGCTGGAAGGAGCTTTCTCCCAGAGCCGGTGCTGCACGGTTTCAGGATTTGGCCGTTTCTGAACTTCGCCAGATTTCAATTCTCCTTAGCAATACAGTCAGGAGTCTTTAACCACTATGACTAAAGCTCAACTGCATTTTTGAAGGAAATAAGGATTATCATAGGAAATAAGACCCCAAAAAACCCAAATTTCCGAATTTCCCACCTGGGTTACAGTAAAAAAGAATCGATTCCTTCCCTCTATCGACCACGTGCGAGCAGCACGAGCGGCAGTTCTGTGCTGTGAGCGAACAGGAATCCAACGTCTAGAAGGGATTTTGCTCTTCTTGATCCCATTTTGGTGGCAAAAGAGACAGTTATGATGGCATTTTGTCACCTCTACCACCACTCGACAGCCATAAAATTGTGATGAGAAACGTCCCGAGGCAAACTGGCCAAAACAAACAGCTTCTAATGGGGGACAAGCAAGAAAACAATCCAACTCGTGCAGACAATCGGCGTTTTCAACAGCCCCAAAGAGCGCTGACCAGAAGGCTCGCACACAGAGCGACATTTCTGAGCTCACTGGTGAAAAACTAGAAGAGACGCAGCTCTAAAACATAAGCTGGATTAAGTAACCACAGAGCAATTAAATGGTAAGTCTTATATTAGGAAGCTATGTCTACCCTTCTTATCCTAACGGAGTCGTAACTGTGGCCAAACCAGAGCCCAACCTGCTCTGAACTTCAGCTGGTTAACCAGCCTCCAGCCAGGATTTAGACGAGGAAAACCAGAGACTGCGGGTGCAGCTGACTTGTGCACGTGCCATCTTTGAATCTTCACTTGTGCTGTGCCACACTTGCCGTAAAACGCAAAAGCACGATCATCGGGAATTTCCGGCAACACGACATGAAGCCAAAACAAAATTTCGACAAAAGCTGAGCTGAAGTAACTGCCTTCAGCAGGTAAGCCTCAAAAAAAAACCCCTGAGAATCCTACAAACCTGTCAAATGTTTGCCAAATTCAAACTGCCAGCACTTTTTTTGGAACACCGCGTACTGTCGTTTTCCCCAGATACACAGACAGCCCCTCAGACTCTCATTTTGCTGGGTTGTATTTGTCCAAAAAGGATTTGCAGAGCTCCAACTGCGACGCCGGCGTCGCCTGATGGTGTTTTACTGAGAAATACTCATTTCAGTTTTCTGCTTGGTTATACCAACACCCGTAATTCGTGCTTCCCAAGCACGCTTTTGAAGCACAGTAATATTGGTTTTAAGAATAACATAAAGAACGATATTTAGAGGAAGCCCATCGCACCGCTCCGGTTCAGTAGCTGATCTTTTGTTCCCCACTCCCTCGACTTTCCTATCGACAGAAGAGCACAAGTCATTTGTCTTCCCCGCATACAACTCCGAAGGATTAATCCCGCCACCACTTCTACGCGGACACGGAGCAGCGGCACTTTTAACCGCGCTGGTTTATGCCCACTCGCACATACTGCCAACTGGGAAGATTTCTTTAACGTAGCTAGCCCCCTGCCTCGCAACTCCGTGTATTTACAGCACAGCAGCTTCAATAATACAGTAAATGAAAACTTTTTTGCCTAATTTCACTTCTGCTCTCTATGAAATTGGACTTGCCCTTCCTTTATGAAGGCCAGTGAAAGACAAAGAGCCGCCAAAGTCCAACCCAGCTCACAAATAACTCCCACCAGGATTACCTCTTTCAGTCTTTCAAGACCAGGGTGGGGGGACCTGAACAGATTGCTCACGTTGAGGCTGTCCGTGGGCTTGTTCAGCTCTTGGGAAAAACTGTTGGTGGAGAAATACTGTCTACTGTTGTGTTTCTACAAAGGAAGTATAAAGAATCCTGCTTCTCTGAACACAAGCAGAATAGGAGAGAATTTATTTTCTCACTGTTTCAAGTCCTTCTCAGTCACTTTTAGCCTAAAAAGTACACTTTCGGGCACCCCAAACAGCCTTGCCTCTCCCAGCGGCCCTGCAGCGCTCTGCTCGGGTGTTCTGCCCGGAGACACCAGCACACCTCCGCTGCCGCGTGCTCCTTGCCGTTACCACCACCGTCACCTTCCCAGCACGTGCGTTGAGACGAGAAAAACCCAGGGGCAGCTCAGGCCTGGCCCGTCGGCCAGTGGATCCACCAGCACGGTCTCAGCACGCACAGGGAGGCTGCGCTCCGCATGCCGCAACGCTGCCTGCGGCACAACGCCACGACACAAACCACCCAGAGAGCCCAGGAGAGAGCCACAAAGTGTGATCCTCCAGAAAGGAGGGAATGACCTGGAGTTGTCCGACCTCCAGAGCAGATCGCTGAAGCACCGGAATCTCCAGCTACGCCAAGGCTGCCGCGAAGTGGGAGGAAGCCTGTTCTTCACGTCTGCGATGGAAACGAGAAATGAAAGGCTCAAACTGAGGAACAGAAGATTCCAATGTAAGACACCAAAGAACTTTCCAGGAATGACGATGAAGCACCGCAACAGGCTGCCTGAGGAACTCCCGAGACGTCCAGCTCTGGATGCCCTGGGGAACAGAGAGATCTGCGAGAGGAGGTACCTACACTGCAAGGGAGGTGAGGGGGATTCAGTGTCTTGCTGAGGACGCTTGCGGCTCCATTTTTCTACACTATGGTGTAGTTCACCAACTAAACATGTATTGCCAGGTACTTCTGCACTAGCAGGTATACTTTGGCTGTTGACAGCAAAGCTTTTGCTATAGGAAGCAATTAAATACTCCTCTGAATATACAACCCACTAAAACCCAGCACACAGAGCTGATCACCCCAACCGAACGCATCCAGGCTCCTGCGCAGAGCAGAAGCTGTTCACGTGTCCATGAAACTTGTCACAGAAATGTTTGCCTAAAACTAGTCGTAGTAAAACGTCTTGTAATCAGTGAGGAGCAGCCAACTGATTAAAAAAAATAAATCAAGCCTCTTACTTGTCAAATAAAATTACATGAGTATGTTTTAAAAAAATCAGAGCATTGTGATAACCCCAATATACCACTAACCACGCGGATGACATGAAGCACGAAGAAGCTGACGATCTCCACAGCACCCAGACCTGTGTGCTTCAGAGGCACTGCCAGCTCCTTCGTTTACAAAACCTGCAGTGAGTAAAAATTATCCCAACGGTGGGAAA